CCACAGGCTGCCAGAATGCCTTCGCACCCTAAACACTACGCTGGCCTAAGGCTTGGGAAATACTTGCAAGTAATATGAATAAATCCCTTCCTGCTGAAGATTAAAACCCACCCTAATATATAGAATTCTAATTGAATTTCCATGTGTTTGAAGCTTGCATGCGCTATTCCGTCTCTATGTTGTTATTAATCAGTTCAGCCCGGATTTAGCTCTAATATGACCCCCTTTGTATTTTTCCGCTCAGGCCTGATTTAACTTTAATACGACCCCCTTTAGTAATCCGACCCCCCCATTACGACAATGGAAGAAAATAGAAATCTGTTGCGTAACTTATCAGCATAGTGACCCCCGAATTTCTGCGGTCGTCTCAGGCGCTCGAGTTGTCCGAGTTGTCTCGCCCGACCAATGACCGTTTGTGTAACAGACGTAGCCGGAAGGAGTACCGTATTTTGCCCACACTCAAACCCCGATTCTTCCCCCAGAGCTTTGCGTTCCGGGAGGTTCGGGCAAGCCTGGTTCATGATCATGAGGGGAGACGCTATCTTGTGATCAAGGAGCCGAAGATGATGAGGACGACTCAGAGCCTGGACTCAAACGTTCTTCTTGGTTCCTGAAAGGGGGCAAGTGGACGAAGGTGGAGGATCATATAGATCCTTCGGACAAGTCGCACCCTCGTATTATATCTGAAAACATTGAATGTGTGGCAGGTTACCGCCTCCGTTCCTTTCAACGATGGTTTGCTGTCACTGAAACGCGCCATTGGTTGACGTTACCCCAGTCCGGGAAGCGTTACTCGATTCCCTCTCCCCCCATCTATTGTTGACCATCTTGACGCTTTACAGTTCGTCGCGGTGGGGCCGGGGGGTAATTTTTCTGATCGACAGTCCATACTTGGCGCGATAGAAGCTTTCCTTTGGGACAATGTGATGTTCAGGTGCACGCTCGATGACCCAATCAAGACAATCGATGCATTTGAGGCACCCTGGAGTGACCTCAGACCTGAATCTCAATTTGACGTTTATGGTGATGTGCGCCTGGAATTCCTCAGTCATGAACATAGGTTGTTAGGAGAGTGCATTGTGCCTGGGAAATGCATTGATGCCGAGAACTGGGCCAACATTGTTTCCCCGGGTGTGAGCGCTGGCATTAATATCTCTCTCATACAAATTGCACAGTCGACCCAATATGTATCTGTTGGGGGGGACGGAGGCTTCATGCTAATGAGTTTTCCATGCCTTGCTGAGAACACGGGCATTAATCTTGTGTCCATTCCTTCGATGAGATGGCGTGAAAGGACCTTCTCACAAAGCGACACTGAGGTGGATCTTGTCAGAGTCTATCGCAACTTCAAGACAAAAGTCGATTCTTTGGTGTTCCTGGGATGTGAATGCAAACGCCTGAATGGCCAAGTCAGAGAAGCACAAGCCATGACCTCCTATTGGACCACATGGAAAATGTTTTGTAGGTTGTCCCAGAAGCTGGGACTCAACAATGAACATATCCAGGTGGCGAGTCTTCCCAATGATCTTCCTATTGTGGAAGATGTTAGAATGGGGGGCTTCAAATATCAATTTAAGGTGGGTTGTCTCTCATGCGCCTTTGGCAAACCCATGCCCGACGCAAAATACCCTTTCGAGACAATGCTTTTGCGTCCCACGAGCATCAGGGTACAAGATTTTCCACACGCCGCCAGTTGTCTCCATCATGTCCATGTTGATGGATGTAGCGTTCGGAGGTCAAGCGCCACAGGGTTTCAGAGTTTGATCCGCATGATTGCTGCACAAATGGATGTGCGAGTTGTTTTGGGGCAATATGAAGAATGAAGATGATGAATCTAAATCCCTGAGGGCTTGTGCGTGTGATTCCTTTACCCCGGCAGCGACGGCGCAAGGTCTATGGACGACTTGTACGCGTGGATCACGAATTGACTGAGGTGACCTCGCAAGGGTCATTGAATGTGGTATTTGACCAGCATAGACATGTTCATGTTGGGTATTCCAGCACATGTCTGAAGTCTGAGTGTCGTAGCATCACTCATGATTCTTCAGAGTTAGGCGACTACAGTAGTACTACCGTCGAGGCTCTGCGATTTGATTCGAGCCCTGCAAGTGTGCTGACCTCTGGGTTCGTCCCGGGTCAAATCACTATGGCTTCAGCCAACCGCGGATACAAATGTGGACTACGCTGAGTTCATGTTGCCAACTGGAACTGGCGAGACGACCGCGGTCAATCACATCCGCAATGTCCAGAACCCAGCGGAGCATGGCCCCAAACTCAAGATCAGGGGTGACCTTGCCAAGCTTCCCCTGGCCGTAAATGAGATCGCTATAGTGCAGCAATGAAGCAGCTATGCGTGTGCCCCAACATCCCATTCACGTACCGCAACAATGTGGCGCTGGTCATGCAGAACGTCCCCGACGGCGTGCCCAAAGATCCACAAGCCAAAGACCTCAAGCGTCAAATCACGCGTGCCATATTGCGCTTTACAAATCTGTTTGAGGGGTTGCGTCGCATTTGTCCATGGATCATGAAGGTGACCCCAGCAACATTGGTATGGTGGCTCAATTGCGGTGCTACTATGGTGTCGGCTGGAAGGTTCTTGGATCAACTGAGTCTGGGTACGCCCCGCTCTTTAGGTTCTGAAGTCCTCATCGACATTGAGATCAGATCTTCGGATGAACAGATCACTCAGCTTCAAGCGGTGCCAGATGATGAACTCGACGATGCGGAGATGCGTTCCGTTGAAGAGCAAGCAGCCGGGATCGATATCGAGAATTTCGAGGTTGAGCCTGAAGAGGTTGATCACTATGGCGAGCAAGGGGACTACTCTAATGAGTACCTCACCGTATCGAGCAATAAAGTGCAAATCCTCCCGCCCTGCGTTTGAACACTGAGGAGGTGGCTAAGGTCTTCGATGAAGTTCTCACCTACCTCATCTTCCAACGAAAGGATCTCCCTGACGATTATGTGGCATTGAGCTTGAAAGAGATGAAAAAGAGAAAGGATGAGTTCCATACTCCCTTCGCCACAAAGCCTTTCCATTGCCCGGCTAACTTTTCTGGATGAAGAATCCAAGCTTCCTCGCATCCCCGCAGAAGACGAATACTTCGATTGGGTCCGCGGGGAGGGGTTGAAAGTGTACCAGAAGGCCAGGAATGACTGTATGCTCAGTATTCTGTGCGCTAAAGCTCCTTGTTGCTATGTGACAATCTCGACCATAGCTATGAAGCACTTCGTGTCCAATCCTATATTTGGGACATCTATGTTTGGGCATACTCCACGATGAACGTCAACGAGCATCTATCACCGCTCATTGCAGTGAATTCTGAAGGCTACCGAAAGCTTCGTCCCAACCAAGGAGATGGATATCAAAACATCATTAGCGTAAAGGTCCAGTCGCTCCACTCCAATGCACTCGGAGTGAAGAAGTTCAAGTACGTTGCGTGTCGGAACCCACCCAAAGACCCCATGCAAAACGGTACGTGCCACATCTGCGTTGAAGGACTCTTCGAATCGAAGCGCAGAAGAAGCGGGAACGTCTCGATCCCGAAGTGCTCTACGTCGGGGTGCAGATGGGTGCAAAATTTCGGCACTCCGGAACAAAGCGCATTGGAACAATGTAAAGGAATGGCTTGGGAAGTCGCGCGCATCCATGTTCCGCCCTGGCCTTGGGCAGATCACCTATGATGCCAAGAACGATGGAACGCACTATGATCCAAATTTGGATCTCAACGCGATGGATGATTGACATCTTCATCATGAATTACCCTTCTTATCCAATCGCCATTTTGGCGCGCTATGGAATGTCACGGTATCCTAGGTTCGCCCTGCCGTTGGAGTCTCTTGGCTTACTGATTTGCTACCCTGTCTAATGTTGATGTGCAAGAGTGGAGCTTCTGTTACCGACCCAATCAACAAGTTGTAATTCGCGGTGGGGGGGGGGTGTTAAATATTACACATGTGCCCTCACATTATGGCGAGCAACTCAGGTAGCGTTTCATGGTTTGTGCAAAGTCGTTGTTAAATGCCTTTGGCTCAATTTGGCTCAAGCGCCCCTTAAGCTGTAGACGCATTGTCTAACTTATATATAGCTTTGCCATACACATTGACCATATTACAGACCTCGCGGAGCTTTGAGATCGAAGAGTTAAAACGACGGAGTACAAGCTTTGGGTTCTGCTGGTGTGCAAGTTTATTGCAAAACAAACCAGTCGACCTTTTACGGATAGGAACTGTCAGCGCGCCAACTAACATGTGGTTTGTTGTTTAATATTCGGGGGGATATTTATCGTACGACCCGAACATCATTGCGGGATCCTATTGAAATCCACTTCAACTCGGATAGACATGGATTATTAATGGAAAAATAAAGCCATCAGGTTTAACGAAAATTGAATTCAAACCGACTTGAAATCTGAGTAGAATCTCATTAAAATCAACTGAGATGAAATTTCCATGCAATGAGAATCTAATTCATCATGATTGCAACTCGCAAGAAAACAATCGACACAATATTCAGATTATATACATTCCTTTATAAGCAGCGCTCAAAACCAATCCACATCTAGGAAGCCAAGAAGATCCCGAAGCCTTAAGAGTCACGCGAACCCCCCCCTAATTTGGAGAATCCGCGCCGGAATCGACTTTCATTGCGAATTTGGAATTCCCGTATTTGATGTTAAGGGGGACGCTTAATATTAGGGGAAACGGCTAAAATTTACTGTGCTGGCACAAGTCGGGTTGTCTTCAATATGAGAGACGCGGTGCCTTGACGCCAGGTTTCACTCCCTCCATTTCAGACGTAAGACAACTTGGGACAACATGGGAATGGTGACAGCTGAACACCTTGGCTGAACGCTGATAGCAGCAGCGTAAGGGGTTGTGTTGAAGCTGGTCTTTCCTTGCCTGCCCGCAAAGACTTTCCCTCCTCACCTCGTTTTGCTTGTTTGATCTTGTTGCAGATTTCTCGTTCCGGCTTCTGAAGTTGAAGTTCGCTTGAGGTGGAAGTCTTGGCACACTGGCTTGGGTACCTGCGCGCTGGCGGGAAGCAGAAGACGGCGATGCATGCCCTGAATGAGGCGGGGGCGCATGCTGGCTCCTCCTTAGAGAGGAACGCTCCGGAGTGTCCATCATGCGTGGGAGCCTTGATTGGGACTTGGGAGGTGCGCCGATTGAGTCGGTTTTGGTTGGGCAAAGCTGCAAGCCTGGGCCCTGAGCCGTGAGCCATTCGGCATTCCAGAAAATCTCAGGGCGCGGCATGGGCAGGTCTTGCAGAAGCATCTGAGTGGATGGAGAGCTGCGGTTTGGGGCCGCGCCGCCTGTAGACAAAGGAAAAGAGTCGAAAAGAAGGATGTTTTTTCCCGTGCAAAAATGCCATGGCATTTCTTGGGCCCAGCTTGGCAGGCAAAGCAAGCTTACAGGCGCCGGGAGTCGCCTGAGGCGCGCACCCAGGCATATTCGCAGATTCTCAGTTTTTTTTTTTTGGCGTTTCTGCGTTCCAGTTTCCGTGAGGGGAACTTGAATGTGCAGGACACAAAGCGTGCCAACCCTCACGGGCAGATCTACTGCAGGAGTGGGAATCAGCGGCACGAGGAATGCACAAGGAGGGACCCTTCTAATGTGTACAGAGCTGGAGGAACTGTGGCAATGCCGTTGAGGCTGACCTGCTTCATGCGAATCCATTACTTAGGGCATCCGAAAATCCCGTATTATGTCGAATCCCACCAAAGGTGCCGACAAATATGGCTGCGCCATCTCTGTGCCTCCATCGCATGTAGCAGCAGCGCAGCGTGATGGCTCAGGCTGTGACTTGGGGTGTTTTGGCCTGAGGCCTGCTACTAGGTCACCGTCCCCGCAAGACCGCCATCGGCCCACAGAAACCTGCATTGCGTCGGTGCGTGCAGATTTTCAAAGCTGTGCTTAAAGCTTTCAGGTGGGGGTGCCTACTTTCGAACACACAGCACCGAGTCCATGAGCTCCCAGAAGCGATCAGTGAGCAGGGACCTAACACAGACGTTCATAAGCCAGGACCAGTTTATGTGCACTTGGAGGCCCTCCTTCACGGTCGTTGTCCCCATCAGCACAGGCAAACTTCTGACCCTGCGGCAGTATCAATGCTAGTCCTTTGAAGGCCATGGAGCTCCGCATCGAAAGCGTTAGACCTGCAAACAATGGTGCGGACCTCACCTAGAAGCCCTGCCAGCACGTCTCGGAATGATCCTTGAGGACAGATCGCCCTTTCGGTGGTGACTTGGGGAGAGCCTCGGGCTCCTTCATGGAAGCCTGGTACTGAGGAGTTCTTTCTGAGAAAAGGCCTTGAAGAGGTTGCCTCCGAGGTCTCTGCCTCCAGGAGCTGCTCAGACGCGCCCTGGTTTGCATGAAGCTTGCATGCATGCTTCCATGCTTCCATGCTTGCATTGAGCCCACCAAAAGGCAGCCTGGCATTCTAGGTACCCGCATGGTCCTGGCAAAGCCAGAAGCAGGCGTCTAAATCACAGCAAGCCGTTCTGTCCATCTCACCAGCTTGAAGACTCGGAGTTAGGGGACTTGAAGAATGACATATTTCCCGCAATTGCTTGTCGCAGGTCCCCGGAGGCGCCCAAGCGCCGCGGAGAGCGTGCAAGCCTGCACGGGGCTTGGAAACCACGCAGTACTGCACGAACTGCACGAATGCGCCCCGACATGTGAGGCCGCCTCTGCAGGCTGGGCTGATGCATGCTGGCATGCTGCATGCTGGCATGCTGCTACTGCTGCGTGCGGCCTCAGCATTTTTATCGCATTCAAATGAGCCTTGGAGATGAAAGGACGAAAGCCTTCCCCGCGCTCGTGGAATGATGGGTGCTAGCCTTCGAAGGAATTTCCCTGTGCTTTGGCGAAGAAGTCTCTTTTCGCAGGCTCCTCGAGTGCCACGGAGCTGCGAAGACAAGGAGCAGAGCGAGAGGCGGAGCGCGGAGCCTCTGCGGAGCTCGATGGCTCGACGGGTTAGGTTTTTGAGTTTTTTATGTCTTTTTTGTCGGAGGGCGCTGTCGGCGGCCCGGGCCGCCTCCGTGGGGCCATGTTCGTTTGGAGCTCACTTTTGGCTCTGCTTGGGCAAGTTGGAATTCCCTCGCGATGCAGGTGAACTCCTACCGCCCCTTCGCGGCAGCAGAGTTTACAAAGGAGGCACAAGAGTGACCTGCAGCAGTGCAGCCCAGTGCAGCACGCTGCCCAGAGCAGGGCCTGAACCCTGTAGGATCCTCGGATGTTGTGGCGTGGCACCAAGCTATGTCAAAGGCTGCACGTGCTCACAAGAGGAGGGTACATGAGGCGACCTCAGAAGTCATTTCCCTTCAAGGATGCTCCAGGCGCGGACTTCTAGATGGCGGTTGAAGTTGATTGTCTTGACCGCCATGCTGCTGTGCTGCTACGCTGCTATGCTGCTATGCTGCCATGCTATGGCTTGTTGTTGCGGGGTTTGCACAACGTCGGCCGGCCCCGAAACTCAAGTCAAGCAGAGCTTTCTTTGTCCAATGCTAATCTAGGAGTAACTGTTGGTCGCTTTGAGTCAAGCCTTGATGGCATAGCACAAACTTTTTCACCATCTTGAACACCGAGCAAAAGCAGCTCCAGCAGCTCCCACGCACGTCCCACGCACGTAGCATGTTTTGTGCACGTGTCAGTGTGCAGTGGCCTTTTTTCCACCGCCTGCACCGCCTGCGTCCAATTTTCCAGGCATTGTGTTCTGCACGCTCTCCAGACAGTGACGCGTTGTGTGGACACTCGTCTTGAACTTGCGCTAAAGTTGACTGCTCTTGCTCAACATTTGGGGAATGCATTTTGGCTCCAGCACTGAAGCAGTGCTTAAAACCTTGGGAAATTGCTGACTTTGGAGGCACTGTGCAGGCCTGGCCCCTGGCCACTCGCTTTTAAAAGACCTTCTGGGTGGACGGGCTGAGAGGAGATGGTCCGCGGCCACGCCAAACAGCAGGCAGAGACTTTCTCCTCTCCTCGTAGCTTCGCTCAGCTTCGCTCAGCTTCCCTCAGCTTCGCTCAGTTTGCACATTTCCTCCTTTCCAATTTTCTCCTTTCGTTTCTCCTTCTTTCACCTCACAGGCGCAAGAGAAGAACGCCGCGAAGCAGGCAGGGCAGAGAGCCGTTTTTCCACAGCTTCGGTCAGGGTTCTTCACTGAGGCATCCATGAAGAAAGCTGGGAGCCAGATTGATGCGCTTCCGCTGAAGCTGGAAGTTGAAGTCGCTTGCAGCCCACCAGTGGGCCGCTCAATTAGAACTTTCCGTGGTCTCAAGGCGCAGAAAGCCGGCCTGAAGTTTCAATGCCCCGCATGTCGGGAACTTTGCACAAGCTCTTGGCAAACTTCATGCAAGCTGCACGTGCTTTGGGAGTCGGTCTCGAGGCTTGCAGGAGAGCACCAACTACAAAATGCCACCTGCATCTGAACATATCTGAACAGTGAGACATGTGCACTGACAGTGCCATCAGTATGCCGGCTCCGAGGTTACAGCAGCACTACGACTCCAAGCACCCAAAGTTGCCATCACCTGAGACCAAGATGCCGTATATCGCTGTCCTGTAGACATGGCAGGCATGGGAAAGCCCATTTTTCCCGAAAGCGTTGCGAAGGATTTGGGCAGAGACTGCTTTTGTTGGATGTTCGCTTGCTTATGGATGCTTTGGCGTTGGTGTGTGTTTGGCTTTGGCATGTTTTGAAAAAGCACGCAGGTTTTGAAAAAGCACGCAGGTAAAGACAGACACCACTTGTGCGTTGACACATTTCCTGAGCTTGGGCAAACAATGCTTTGTCTTGAAGGAGGCGTGCTGAATCCGCACGTCTTGCGCACCGCAGCTTTCTTGCCTGAGCCGTATCTATGTTCTGAGACCCTAGATTCCGGATGTACAGTCGACTTCAGTTACAGGCTGAAGTCTTGGACGCTTCCCAATAGATCGGGCAAGACAATTTCCTGACTAATAGACAATTCTGAAAAATACGTTGAAATCCTGACTATTATTCGTCAAAACTGTGGGCAAGTTTTTAAAGTTATTTTGTGGGTTAAATCAGAAGTTAATTCTGAAGGTAAAATACGATTTGTCTGTCAAATAGTAATAAGTAAAAGGGTATGATAAAAGTGATATTTTTTTTCAACATGAAAATGCACATTTGGAAGCTTTGTATAAACACACATCCACCGAAAAGACTGCTGGGGTAATGACAGGTCTGAGAATGGTGAAAGGTTTGTAAACTGAAGACTTGAGGTATCAACCTTGAAAGTGAACCCTTGGGTCCTTGAACCCTAACCCCTCCCCACTAAATCATCTGACCTTAAGGCTGGAAAACCGACCCTAAAACTTGAAACCCCCAAATCCTTAAACCCAAAGCCCCTAAACCCCTGAGTCCAGTAAGCATGTGGCAGGAACAGTCATAAGAACCAGTACACATGCCACACTGCCACGAAAACCATCCAGACGTGACCACCCAAAACCCTGAACTTTAAGCCCCACACCATAAAGACCAAACCTTAAATCGCATGTTTACTGATAAACCCCTAGACCCTGAAGCCTAAACCTTGATAACATGTTTACTGAGTGTCAGTGGTTTGGTCATGTTTTACTTGAGCTTTGCCATGCTTACTGCTGCATTTGGTCATGCTTTACTTGGGCTATGCCATGCTTACTGCTGCAGCTGCTTGAGGGGTTACAGGGTTGTGAGGTAGGATAAAGGGTTGGTTCTTTATGAACAACTATTACTTATGTTATGTTAGTCTGATTTTGTTTTTTTGTCTCATCAATCACTGCTGCTGCAAGTTGTATGGCCGCAATATGGATGACACTTTTGCTTTAATCTCATGTGAATATTACCTTTGTCTATGAGTTGTCTTGCCTAACTGAGGCAAACTTGATTGGCACAGGAAAATTTTATTTGCTTTCTTTGTATATTTGCATGAAATGCATACATAAAAATACAAGATTAATGCAAGTTTGGCATCAGATTTGCATGAAATCTTCATAGGATAGTGAAAGTTTAGTGCAAGTTTAGTGTCAAACTTGCAATAAACGTGCAATAAACTTTCACTAAACTTGCAATGATACGTGCAAGTTTAGTGCAAGTTTGACACCAAACTCGCATTAAACTTTCAGGTTCAAGTGAAAATTTAGTGTAATTTTAATGTCAAACTTACATTAAAATTGCAAGATCAAGGCTTCATTTATAGGAAATTAAGATGATTTTTGTTTATTTTAGAATTTCTGCATGCTGTTAGGGTTCAGGGTTTTGGGTTTTGGGTTTAAGGTCTAAGATTAAAAGGTACACATTTTCAAAGGTTCTGAAGTTGA